CAACTAATCTAAAATTATAAGATTCAACTGCAGTTTCAGTTTATAAATATATATGAAGCTGAAGTTAGCAACGTTTACGTCAACACAAAAGAAAAAAAAAACATTCTCCAAGACCATGTATATGGTCATGAATTTTTTTAATGATCTAAATAATTTTTTTAATTTGAAAATAAATTAAATTTCTAATCATAAAATTTTTTATCATTTACTACAAAATATTTTGTTTAAAAATATAAAAAAAAATTGAAAACATTGCATGTCCAGTGACACTTGTTTGAAAATTCCCATGAACAGTCCACTTATATAAATCGACAACGTCTAACCATTAATCGAAATTTCATCTTTTTTAATGTAAAACAACATGACTTTATAAATTAAATAACTTTCAAACCATAAATGATAATATTCTGTCCTTTATCACACTTAAATTATTTGTTAAGCTATTTAAAAATTTTTTTAAATGGTTAAAGGTTTTCAAAAATAAACTACAAACTTTTTTTTTTTACTTATTTTAATAAAAATTAATTCAATTTTAAAATTAAAATTCCTTCTATTCAATATAATTAAATTTACTATATCAGGCATCACAGTACCTTTTTCCTCAAAAAAGGTGAAAAGCGGAATTTTTTTTCTCAAAAAGAGGACAAAAACTTATTTGTTTATACAACTTGCAGATATAATTCAAATTTTTTATCATATAGCTTCCATAACATTTTTTAAAAAGAATTCGATTTTAATCAGAGTTGCCTTGTTTTCCCAAACTTTTCCCTGATTTCCAGACAAAATGTTGACTTTTTCCCTAAAGAATATTCTGCGATTCACTCTAAAAATGATTAGATACACAAAAAAACTGCAAATACAGTAGGATCTTTCAATAGTGCAGTTCTGAACAGTGCAGTTATTAGTGAGTTGAGTAGACGAGGGGTTCCGGGAGGCAAAGGGAAAGGGAATCTGTGATGTCAAATGCAGTGCCGTCGGTCATTTAATTGTTTAGTGTCATTTAGTGGTGCCAAGTATTTAGGAGTGGGGGACCCTTTATTTTCTTGACACGGTCCTAAATTATTACGTTTATGCACTCTTCGAATAGTGCACAATATTCCCGACGACTGCACTATTGGAAGATCCCACTGTACTTGTTTTTAAAAAAAATATTTAATCATTATTATTTTTCCATAGGAATTAAGATTTTCAAAACATTCAAATTCAAATCCTTTTGAAATTCAACAATTTTTGAGAATATTATTATAAAACATGAAGAAAATGACCACTTTCTTCATGTTTTATAAAAATTAAAGATGACCGAGTGATAAGATCATTATTTTCTACTATAAAAAATATTTGTACTCTAACTTCTTCACAATTATTTTCATCATTTCAATTCAATGATTAACTGGAATTTTTAATTAAAATTTTTCTTTTAATCAATTATTTACAATAATTTAAAAAAAAAATTCTTCAATAAAATATATATTTGAAAATAAAAACTTCGAATAATTTTAATTAAACTTTTTGAAAAAACTTAATTCTACATAATTTTTAATTAAAAATATGAAAAATTCAGATTTTCAAATATTTCAATTTGAAACTTTTTCAAAATTCAATTATTTCTAAAAATTCACGTTATAATGCTTTTAATATTTAATTATTATGTGAAATTTTAACTGAAATTCACTTAAATCAATTTCTATTAGAAAATTCTACGAGAATTCAATTATTTACATACAAAAATAAATAATTTATATTGAATAATTGAATATTTCTTAATATTGAATTCTCATAAACAATTTTATCAACAAATTTTTAAATAATTAAATTCTTTCGACGAATTTTAATAAAAAATTTTGAAAATAATTACATTTTTCGAGGTATTTGATTAAAATAGTACGAAAAATAATTGAAATTCTGCGATGAGATTGATTATTTATGAAAATAATGGAATTACTGCCAAGAAATTTATAAAAAAATTTGTAAATAATAGAATTCCTGTAAAATTATTTTATTATTTATGAAAATAATTAAATGTTTACGTAGAATTTTGATAAAAAATTTTTTAAATAATTGAATTGCGAAAAAGAATTTCATTATTCAATAAAAAGAATTGAAATTTTTACGAGAATTTCTTAAAATTTTTAAAAATAATTGAATTTTGAAGAAGAATTTTATTATTTATAAAAGAAATTGAAATTTTTACGAGAATTTCTTTAAAATTTTTAATATATTTGAATTTCTGCGAAGAATTTTATTATACTTTTTAAAAATAATTGAATTTCGAAGAAGAATTTTATTATTCATAAAAAGAATTGAAATTTTTACGAGAATTTCTTAAAATTTTTAAAAATAATTGAATTTTGAAGAAGAATTTTATTATTTATAAAAGGAATTGAAATTTTTTCGAGAATTTCTTAAAATTTTTGAATATAATTGAATTTCTGCGAAGAATTTTATTATTTTTGATAATAATTAAATTTTTGCAATTATATGAAACTTTTGCAAAATTCAAATTTTTTTAAGAGTTTTTAACTAAAATTCCTCGTTAATTTCTTTATTTTTAAAAATTAATTAAAGATATATTTTAAAAAATTTAACTAATTTCAGAATAATTTAAATTTTGAAAATTTTTGCAAAAATTTAAGTTCTTTAGAATTTCTAATGAAATTCATTCAAAATTGAAATTTTATTTAATTTGAAATTAAAATCTTTTGAAGTTCATCTTTTTATGAAAAATAAACGAAATTATTTTAAAAGTCAATTAATTTTAAAAAATTTTTAAAAATTAGAATTTTTTTTTTTTTTTAAATATTAATAATAAAATGTTAATTATTTTTCTAGAGGTCTGCAGTCTGTTGAATGAACCACCTTATAATTTAGCATTTTTTAAATGTAAGTGAACATTTTTTGATCGAATATAAGAAGTTTTTAAGGAAACTAAAATTTTTTGAGTGAATGTAAATATTTTTTTTTCTATGTTTGGAAATTTTGTTATTAATTTATATGAAAAATTATTAAAAAACTTTGTTCATTACTTGTATGTTTTTTATTTTGATAGTGTGATCCTCATACTGAAGAAAATAAGTCAAACTTGATTAAAAAATATTAATATTTATAAAAGTTATAAGGATTTTCTAAGTTTAAACTTTAACTGCTGTTTTCTCGAAAACTTGTTTTCGCACGTAAGGTTCCTTTTCATAGACCAGGTCACATATACTAATATATATGTGACTGTCCACGAGAAAACGCGGCTTTTAGCTCCCAAACGTGAATTTCACAGGGCGAACGATTGAAGTAAGTATTACGATTGAAGTTAACTATACGCTTCACATACCCATCTTTAAAACGATATATTGTCGAAAGTAATTGATATTTTAAACTTTTGACTTTTGCATTTGAAAAAGCAACATAAAATCTGTTGATTATCATAAAAAAACTCAAATTGATTTTTTGGACCAAGGCCGTGTTTTGTCGTGGACAGTCACATATAGCTTCAATTGCTTTATAGAAATTGTGAAGTGTGACATAAGTTGTAGTTGTGATTTCCATAAATCTGGTGTTAGTTATCGAAAAGTAAACAGACTAACATTTTTTTTCTTTTTCAACAAATAATTTTCCAATAGTAGTTCAGTAATTTTTTAGATAAGGATTTATGAGAAAGTCAAGCGGTAACTAATCCAATATGTTAGGAAGCATTTTAACAGAATGTGATGAAATATTTTGAATTATTTTCAAAATAGTTTATTATTTATCCAAAAAGATTAGTTTGAATTTCTGCTAAAATCGTCGTGATATCCTGAGTAACTGAATTAAGTTTCGTAATTTTTAGGGAATATAATTTGTTTCTGTGTATGTATATCCAATGCATCAAAAATACGGCAATTGTTTCTGTAAAAAAAGACAATATTTGCACTCACAAAATTAGCGAATAATAAAATTGTAAAGTACAAAAAAATTCCGTTCTGCCTTCGGTTATATAGTATATATTATTACCTAATATGACTGGAAGAGTTACGCTTTCATCATTGCTTCCACAAGTGAAAGTAAACCTAGTAAAAGGAGAAAATGTATGTATGCCGCGTGGTCACGTGTAAAAGACATTACATTATATAGTATGTGGTTTACACGGAAGAAATAAAATGCTGTCAGTTTTTAATTGTATTGGTGTTTGCTGTCAAATCTCTCAAAATTAGCTATACCATAGCTGAGATGTTTGCAAATGCAGCGAGAACCAGTTCACTGTGACAACCGAGATCAGTGAGAATTTAAGTGAATTCACTGTCATAGCAAGTATTTGTGGTTAGAATAACACCAAAAATTACTATGCCAGAAAATGATTAACATGTAAAAAGAATTCAAATTATCTATTTGTCATGTGTCATTTTTTTCATTACAAAACGTGACTAATTAATATAAATTAATTAAAGGAAATGAATTTATCATTCGGCAGTTAAATATTAAAGGTGAAAGAAGTTATCAATCAATTTAAAATTGATTCGGAGAATTGCTAACTTCTTTCACCTTTAATATAAATTAAATTAATTAGTGGATTATATCATTTTTTTGAAATATAAAATTAAATGAAAACAACTTATTAATTTAAAAGTATTTGAAGACTTTGAGGTTAGGCGAAACCAATGGACATTAAATGCCATTTAAATGCACGTTCGTGTTCTTCGGGAGTTATCAAATTCTTCGACTTCATATTGTGAAGGCAGCACAGTAAAAATTCGCAACCAGCATTGTCTATTTTGTTAACCTACACATTACTAACTCGTGGTCTGATAAATATATTTTGCTTAGGACCAAATTAGAAAGTTCTAGCTCAGCAATTTTTAAGATGCTTTCAAAGAAATATTCCTAGGTGAAAAAGACACCGTAAACGACTAATATTTATTCTTTTAATCAAAATCACCAATATATGAATATATAACACAACTGGATTGTTAAGGAAGTTAAATGTACGTGGTTCGAAACTGCAAAATGAAGATTCAACCGCTAGGATAGTTTACCTTAAAATCAGCCCGAAATATCGCGCGCCCTTTGAAAAGAGGCAGGAAACCAAAATCCAAAAGGATTATTCCAAAGATGTATCACTGTATGCTGGCAATTCTTGAAAACTCACCTGCAATCACACAACAATTTCCCATCAAATATAAACCAAGTATTTAATCATTTTGCATTACATCAAAAATAAATTCGTTTCAACAAAAAATTATACGAATAAATAAGTTTAAAAAGTATTCAATTCACTTTATTAGATCTTACGTAATATTTTCAGCCTAGAGCAGTGTACTGTTCAAAATGTACTTATCTCAAAGATTAAAGAATTTTAAAAAATGTAAATAAAAAGTAAACAAATTTAAATTCGTTTTCAAAAACTACCCGCCATATTAAATCCGACATTTTGAATTTTGAAAATCTGCATCATTTCGCGAAAGTGACAATTTACAAAAGTGTTAACTTGCACAAACGATAATTCACAACAATAACAATTCGTAAAAATTTCAATTCGCTAATGTGGCAATTCGTAAAAAAGACATTTCGCAAAAGTGACAATTTGTAATAATGTCGTTTCGGACAAATGATGATTCATAAAATTGACAATTCGCATAAATGACTATTCGGAAATGTCTTATTTCGAAAAAATAGCAATTCGCAAAAGTGCGTTTTCATAAAAATGTGACTTCGATATAGTGCTTATTCGTACAAAAGATACTTCGAAATAATTCCAATTCAGAAAAGTGACATTTCGTAAAAATTACATTTCGCAAAAGTGACGATTCGTAAAAATGTCACTTCGTACAAATGACAATTGCCTGAATTTAAGGGGAAACATCTCGAAAAGTTATCAATAAAAGTTAAGAAAAATCTATTTTGAGGACCCATGCGCATTTAACACCCCCATGGGTTCACAGATGCACTGAGAAAAATGGATATTAAGCTTTATTATTTAGATATTAATGGTTAATATCTGTGACAGTCAAATATGTAAACATCTTAGATGTTCAAATTTAATATCTACAGATATTGGAAAAAGACTTGTTCAAACATAACCTCACATTTAGAGATTATACTTTTTAACAACTGAGATATTAAACCATAACATCTAGATGATATGCATTAGCATCTTTTCTTGATAGCTAGTATATTAAGATTTTAAATATCCAGTTTTCTCAGTGTGTCGGAATGGACAATGTCCCCTAAATTACATAGTTTTTTTTAGAAAATGTAATTCACATCCTTATTTTTTTTCTTAAGACCATGTTCAAGATGTAAAATGTAAGCAAACCAAAACACTTAAATCGCAATTTTTTAGCACATCCCATTTCACTAAAAATATTAAAATAATAAAATAAAATGAGCACTAAAATAGCACTTTTGACGCATCACAAAAATTAAACTCTTTGACGGAACATCATAGTGCCGTACTCTTATAAGCACCTATACTCTCTAAATCTGAATCAGTGAAAATCCACTGAAGATCATTGAAATTTAACTGAGAATCAGTTACTCTATTCTCGCGATTTGAAACGGTGAAATTTCAGTAAAATTCAATTAAAAATTACTGAAATATCAGTCATTTTTCACTGATTGGACAATTAAATATTGATTATTGAAAATTTTAGTTATTTTTTAAGTGGCCAATCAGTGATAAATGACGGATATTTCAATCATTTTTAACTGATCTTCATTGGAATTTCACTGACAATCAGTGGTTTTTACTGATTCTCAGTTAAATTTCACTGATGAATTAAAGAAAGTTCGTCCTCTGAATTGAAATCAGTGAAATTACTATTGGTCAAACTTATTATTCCTTGACAATTAAACTTTTCACTTCCCGATATTTTGTACGAAACTTTCATTAATTTATTGTATTGTGTGTGTGTCGAAATCTTCTAAGACTTTAATATAAAGTACTTCAAGCGACGCGACGTCAACTTATCTCATCGTGCACCTAAAATTATCAAAACTTTCCAGCAAACTTTTGAGTACCATTACGGCTATAATCATTGTTGATTTCAACCTCCACTTTTTCTAATTTATTGACAGTATCAAAAAAGGATCGCAAATAATCAAGCGTATCACTGCCTTCGTCAATTTTCAAAGACATCAGACTATTTAATATATAGAGACGCATTTCAGGCAAGACACTGCAGTTTCCTGATTAACTGGGCCCATAACCTGTTATAATAAGTTCAGGATATGGCACAAAAATACGAAATAAAACGTGTTTATTTATGTGCAGAAGGATAAAATTTGTTATTTGCGCAAGGGCTGAAATATAAAATCCAACCGACTCATGGCCCCACTTTCTTTAGATTTCCCCCACTACTAAGTTAAACCTCCTGTATCTAGTCTTCTTGGTGCAGTAGTTTCAATTTTAATGTCTTTCACGTAAAGTACTTTAAGCTTGTTTTCAGGCCATACCACTATTTCACCACTGTTCACACATCCCCACCACCTCAGTTACACCTCTTGCTTCTAGTCATTTTGATTTTACCATTAGAGGAGACCATGAAATAGTATAAGGAGACAGATATCCAGTATAGTAGGGTATCAAAATGTGAAAAAAATGAGCTACCCAAAATAACAGCCCATTTGATAAATATGAACCCGTTCCGACGAAGGGTTAAAGTTTAAATGGGATTTAACATGGGTTTGGTCCACTTCTGCAAACTTTGTATTATAACTTTCCCATTTCTTAAAAATTTGACTTGCTACTACGTATTCATATAGTTTTTCGTATGCTGATCACGAATATGATGTCAAAAATAACTTTTGACAGCTACTGATGTCAAAAAAACTGTCAAATTTTAAAAACATGAGAATTTTCACAAATTTTACATTAAATCCTACGAATATTAGTTTCTTGTGATACTTTTAGTTTATGTCTATAGCAATAAAATACACTTTGACAGTTATCACAAAAACGGCTCTGTGGGTAAATTTAGTTCATATATATGAAAATGTAATATACGTTGTCAGCTGTCAAATGAGTTTTCAACTTCTATAAAATAGGTTGTTTTAAGAAGTTCCTAATTAATTTTTATAAATCATTTTTTAAGAAAATTTAGTTTATATCTAGAAATTTAATATACTTTTTCAGTTGACAAAACAGTCAAAACAGCTGTCAAATTTAATTCTTGTAACCATTCTTTCGCTTCGTTTCGTGTGAAACACACAATCGTCGAAAAACACCATTGAAATAGCTTCACTACTTAAATAATATAAATGTTATAAATGTCAACTGCTAAACTATATTACATTTCTAGATATAAACTAAATTTTTTTAAAAAATCATTTATAAAAAATAATTAGAAACTTTTAAAAAAATCCTATTTTATAGAAGTTGGCAACTCATTTGACAGCTGTCAACTGACAAAATAATTAACGACAAAAAGTAATAGTAAGTAATTGTGAAAATTATAATGAAATATTATCCTAAGAAACGGATAAGATTTATAGTTTATGTTGAAATTTTTTAGATTTGTGACCAGAAAATATTTCACAAATAGTAAAAATAAAATTATAAAACAGTTGAAGAATAGAAAATTGATGATATTTAAAGAAATATACTTTATACAATGAAATATGTTTCATTGTATAATAGTTTATTAAACAACAAGGGGAGAAAGGCAGCCATTTTTTTACGGTGATTTTTGTGACACGAGAGGAGTCACAAAAATCGAAACGAGTGTCACAAAAATCATAGTTAACAAATTAAGCTGCCTTTGTTCCCGTGTTACTTACGATACTTTTTATTCCTATAATGCAAAAAAGTGTCGATTTCAGATATCAGAAGTCAATCACTTGAATATGGCGTTCATTTTCTCCCATGGGCAAAAATAACGCATGGGACCAGCTGTTTTTTTTTGCACATGTGAGAAAATGAACGCCATTTTCATATACGGCGGTCGAACAAATGAATGACTTTACTCCCTGCCGTCAGCTATCTAAAAGCGCCATTTTTGTGCATGTGGGATAAAAAAGTTGTTAAATATTGTTAATTTTCAAAGATAATGAAAAGCTCTACCCGCTTGTTTTGTTTTGTTAGAAGTTTCAAATAATTTTGATATGCTATGTTGTTAAGGATTAAATGAAGCAAATGTATATGTATTTTGTAAAAGATTTGATCGGTTTCCATGCAGTTATTCAGACTATTTATACTCACGCAAACCACTGATTAAGAAAGTAGCTGAACAAAACTAACCTACAACAAAAAAAAACATTCATTAGTTCAAGGTACAAGCATTAATAATTTACATATTATCATATATTAATTTTCTATCCTCAAATTATCAAAACAGAAAATATTGATATACCCTTTAATATTGCAAACGTGACATTAACATTAACATTACATTAAAAAAACTATTTGACTCAAATACACCAGAGTGACTTGAATAAGTTGCAAAGTGTCAAATAGTTATGTCGCTGATAGTATCTTTGTCCTATGTTTGTATAAATAAAAGTATTCGGATCCCTTCAATATTTCTAAAGATTACAATATTAGTGATGACATGTTTTTTCTCATAGAGTCGCGTGTAATCGTCCTGATACTTTTATCACATAACATTTATTTAAATAATTTACTTATTATTTGAGTCAAATAAATAGTACATTTTTGATATGTTAATATACAAATATTAGTGATAATCTTTTAAAATAACAAAATTATGCAATTATATGTATAATGTTTGTACAAAGTATTTTGTATATTTTTAGAAGGCAGTACACTGTTGGATAAAAAATAACATTGAAGATATTGAGATTTCATTGTCAACAATCTTTGTAAACCGGAAGTACGCCGTGTGAATGGTAAAAGAAGCATCATTGTGATTTTGTTTGGCTTTGTATAAAGTGACACCGCACGTTTAAGAAGCGCAAATTCAACTTTCAGGTAAAAAATTATTATATATAATTAATCATCCTAAATGAGGTTTTTTAGAATGACAGATGATTCAAAATGCAATACAAATAAATAGATTATTGAAATAAAATTGAATACAAACATTAAATGTAATACATATAGTGTTATAATACGATCCTCGGTCCCAAAATTGCCTTGCAAGTCAGGATCTCGAGAAAAGAGGGGGTAAGAAATCAAAAAGTAATTTTCTA